GCTATCAGCGCGAGAGCAATACTATGATTTTTATGATTCAAGGCCCGTCGCTTTCTCTCCGTCCCGCCGTGGGCATTCATTCCCCGCGCAATAATTCTACTGCGGCAGCGATCGCTCAGGGCGAGATGTAGCAAAGGCTAACGACGGACTGACATTGCCGTGACATCGATCACTACGTGAGGGGCTAGAAATGAAAATTTGGGGACGGAATCTTGATTCAAAAATAGAAGTCCGTCGCCAAAAATGAGGGAGTTCGGAGTCGTGAAGTTCAAAACTAAGGCATACAACAATAATGGCATGCGGTATTTGAAGGTTGTGCGTAGTGCACGGGTCTGGGCCAGATTTTCTTTGGAATCTTGCTGCGAAAAATACCAGGGGAATTCGCGAACAGCGTGCTTTGAACAACTAGTGATTAATGGCGAATTTTCAGGGGTTACCGGATCCTGATAATGTCAATCAGGGAGTACGGGACGTAATCAAGGAGTATTTGACTGCCGGACTCGCCGCATGCGTTACTTGTATTGCGCCCTAAAACTATTGCGTGGCGGTGATGCTTAACGAGCGAAAGGTGGTTTAACGGATGCGATGTGGGCGCCCGGCGTGTGCACTCGAGCATATGAGTCTAGTTAGGTAATCCTCGAGAGGCTGCGTTAGCAATCCTGAGCTTCGCACCGCTTGTCCGCATGTCCTCTGGCATTAGGTTGCGCTGCGGTGTCGAGTGAATACAGGGCACTTGTAATCTCGATGGTACTCATCCTCTTGCCCTCTCTATCTCCTTCTCTCTTCTATCTTCGACTCCACCACACACTAGCTTCCGCTCTTGCTTGTCATTCGTCCTGCTATCTATATCGTATAGTACTTCTATTACTCCTCGTTTTACATGCTTACCCTGACCAATGACCTTCGGATGTCGACGCTTGAGAGCCAGGGTGATTAGTTGATTATGGCTGGGAGAGAGAGTAAGAATGATGCGGACTTGCAGCATGCGGGACGATGGGCGGCAGTGGACTAAGAATGGCAGCATGCAGGATCGGGGGGGCAGTGAAGCTAGAGGTGCGCAGCATGCGGCCGATGGGCGGCAGTGGTAGAAAGGTGCCAGCTGGCGGCGATGAAGGGGCGGCAGTGGTAGACGGGTGCAGCATGCAGGCGATGTCGGGCCGGCAAGTGGTAGAGGCATGCGCATACGGCCGATGGGGGGGCAGTGGGTAGAGGTGCAGCATGCGGGCGATGAGGGGGCACGGGGGTGGTAGAGGTGGCGGTCGCGAAGGCGATTGGGGGGGCACGTGGAATGAGGGTGCAAGCTGCGGCGATGGCGGCCGTGCAAGTGGTAGAGGTGCGCAGCCTGCGGCGATGCGGGGGCGGTCGGTCAGAGGTGCAGCATGCGGTGATGGGGGGCAGTGGCAGAGGTGCAGCATGCGGCGATGGGGGGCAGTGGTAGAGGTGCAGCATGCTGCGATGGGGGGCAGTGGTAGAGGTGGCGGTCGCGGCGGAGGCGCAGTGTGAGCGAGGAAGAGACACGGTCAGGAGACACGTGGAGAGAGGATAGTCTCACATATGTGCGCCAGCATTTAGAATACGAGGGTTCGGTGAAGAGCGCATATGACAACACATGGGTAGTGGTGTGGTTAGGATTAGTAATAGAATTGTGGTCACGATTAAATTGACTACGTCACGAATTTTCCATGGTAAAATTTGTAAAAAAAAAAATTGCCATTTAAAAGTAAGAACAAATGGTACTAAATATATCCTCAAACTCTCACCTGATAAAAATGTTTTTACGTTGGTTAAATTTGCAAAAATCTAGACGATTTGGTAATTTCTGTTGTCTAACACTATTCCCCCAGTACTGTTCAGATACTGGCGTCTCTGTTTTTCACCGGCAAATTAGGTCATATAAAGAAGGTATATAAGCATGAAAAGTAAACAGAAACACTAATTGTATTTTCATACATTTTATTTTGTACAATTAACACACAAATATACTACTTGCTGGTGCTAAAAATTCGTGACTATGAGAGTTAAGATTAGAGTGAGAATAAGGGTTGGGGTCTATGCCCTCGGTAGATGATATTTATTGCTGACCTGTGATGGTACCGGTCAGTGGTATGCTGTCGCTAGATGATATTTATTGCCGACCTGTGATTGTACAAGTGGTATGCTCTCGCTAGATGATATTTATTGCCGACCTATGATGGTACCAGTCAGTGGTATGCTGTCGCTAGATGATATTTATTGCCGACCTATGATGGTACCAGTCAGTGGTATGCTGTCGCTAGATGATATTTATTGCC